GTGATGATTATTTTAGATATCTCAAAGTAATTTTCAATGCTTGGTCAAGTAGGGGAATTAGGATCACCAAGAGGATGGCAGGTGCCCCATTAGATACCCCCTGGTCCCCTGGGGTTCCTATAACTCTCCAAGGCACAGGCTGGGTGCCCCTCACCCATGGCATCAAAGGCAGGCAGCAGGCTAACATCCATCCAGCTTTCTAGGGCTGCAGTCACTAGTTGGAACTGCAAAGCCTCAGGCACGTTCTGCTCAGGAAACTTAAGGCTCAGGCCAGGGACCTGATCCTGCCAACAGGATTCCAGCTGTGCCCGCATCTCGTCAAGGATCTCTGCACAGTGGTCCCTCTGGTCCTTGTAGTCAGTGAAGCAGTTGAGAAAGAGGATGAGTTCGACATCACGGCCACCCCTTAGGTTTGTGCCCCGGCCGAATGAGCCGCCCTGTGGTGGGAAGAACAGCTCAGACCAGGGACCCTCTCAGAGCCCAGGAGTCAGACCGTGATCCCANGGTGAGAAAAATAATTGTTAATTATGCTCAAAGATTTTAATTTGAGTATATTTTAATTTGAGTGTATAAAAATGGAAGAAATAATCTCTCCTATTATTAGTGTTTTAATATATTATTAAACCCTTTGAAAACATTATATTATTGTTGTTTGTTTCATTTTTGTCTGTTAGCTTTATGCTACTTATAAGAGGTTCAATTAAAATTTGTTAACACATTCTTAAAAATAAAGGATGAAAAAAGTATACCAGGAAAATACTAATAAAAGACTAATAAGCTCTATTAATTTGAGACAGGACACTTGAAGACAAATAGAATTTTTAGAAATAATGAGGATGATTAGTTAATGATAAAACTTCAATAATATAGAATAATTATGTATTTATATGCTCCCAATAACATAGCCTCAAAATATTAAAAGCAAAACAAATTATAATGTCATAATTAAAAGTACAAAATATTTATACCTGAATGATAATAAAAATTGTACAAGTACATATCAAAACATTTGCCATGCAGCTAACATGGTATTGAAAAGGAAATGTGCAGCCTTAAAAGCATTC